AACTCAGATCCTTGCATTTGCCAGTCAAGCACTTATCCTACTGAGCCATCTCCCCGGCCCCTGATCCCTGTCTTTTAAGATGTTAATATATGCAACTACACCAGCAATACCTGCTTGCAGAATAAATAAATTCTAAATTTGTAGGGGGCGCTGGGGAGATGGCTCAGTGGAATAAGCGCTTCCCTGGCAAGCGCAAGGGCCTGAGTTCAATCCCCAGTTCCGCAAAATAAATAAATAAATAAATAAAAATTAAAAAATTAATTTGTAGGAGGGCCAGGGAGATGGCTCAGTGGAATAAGCGCTTCCCTGGCAAGTGCAAGGGTCTGAGTTCAATCCCCAGTTCACCCCCCCAAAAAAAATTGTAGGAAATATGGTTAGTCTGATTTTTCAAAATGGAAGCATTGTTTTTAAAATAACTGCACGTAAGTATGTGCTACTTTGGTAGAAATCACTAAACCTAAACTTCAAGCTTTTCTAGGCATATACATACATTACTGTTGTATTTCACAGTAAAACAATATTCAGTGAAATGTGTCCAAAACAAAACATGGCAAGCACAAGGCCCTGAGTTAAATCCCTGGTACCCCCCAAAAATAAATACATGATCCATAACTTCATAGTTTAGTAATGATTCAAAGTGGGAATCTGCTTCAATTCACTGCTTCATACACAAAAGAAACCAGCTCTTCCCAAGGTGACACTAACTGCATATGAATGATGAAAAACTACAACAAAATAATCACATGGTGATTACTTGCAGAGTACTCCCCCATGAACGAGAAAAATACATTCCTCTGCAACAGTACCTGAAATGATGTGGTGCTTGGCACGCGTGGTCTAATTTTATGAATGGGAAAAAATTCAGGATCAAGAGGTTAAGCAACTTACTCAAGGTCACTCAAGAAATCAGTGGTGCAGCTATACCTAGGACGGTGCACTTAACCTGACCCCTTCCACTACATCACCCCGCCTCCCAGCTGTGACATTATGACAGTAGAAAAGCCGGAATCACACTCAAGTGCAACACGCACTACCCCTCCCCTCCCGGGGAGGCGCAGGCTGGCTTCGGAGTGCGTTCCTCAGCCGCTCGCCGGCCAGGAGGAAGTTGTGTCCGACAGGCAGGCCACTCATCAGCCCAGCGAAGTGACAGGGCTGACAGGCGCACGCCTCGTGGACCAGCCTGCGTTCCCAGGAGCCCCTCCAGAGCTGGCGCCGGAAAAACAGATCCCTGAAACGTCTGGTTCACTTCCCAGGGAGTTTCGTCCCTTCCAGGGCCCGAGGAACCAGCTGGGAGGGTGCCAAAGGGCGGCCAGCAGGCCACCCGAGCCGGCCATGTGTCCAGCCCGTTCGCCCGCCTCGCCCAGGCCGGGGCAGAGGCCCAGCTCGGGGCACGACGCAAAGGAAGCCTTGGCGGCAGCAACCACAGCCACGCCACACTGAGGCGCCCCAGCGGTGCCGCCGTCAGGTCTCCGCCCCACCCCTCAAACTGGGCCCTCTAGAGAGGCCGGTCCGCGATTCCGCCAGGCCGGGAAGGCTCGGCCTGCTACATCCCGCCCGCCCGCCCGCCGTGGCAGCCACCTGGAGCGTTCTTACTTCATTGAGCTGGCGCTCCGCGGCCTCGCGCAGGGCTGGGTCCATGGTGCCCCGCAGGGCCTCGATAATGGTGTTGGGGTCCATCGCAGCGCGAACTCGGTCAAACCCGGGGCACGGGTGCTACTGGGCCAGGAATAGCGCCAGTCACTGCGCACATGGACCCGCCGCACTCCGCAGCGACTACCGGCGCGAAAGGAAAGAGAAGCGTCAAGGCCCCGGATAGAACCTCTTCGCCTCGGCGTGGAGGCGGGAGATGCTCCTGGTACTTCCTGTCTGCACGGTCGCGGAGCATCTTGGGAGATGTAGTCCTCAGGTGCTGTTCGCAGCCCACGTGGCTGGCCCTCACAATCTTGCTACTCAAAATGGAAAAACGCTGAAACACCACGGCAAGAAAACGAAGACAATCAATTACGAAAATTCCTTATAACAAGCCTAAAGAATTTAATGCAATGTATGATACAGTTTGTTACTAGTAGCTGTGTAATTGAAGGAAACTTTTTGAAAACCAGTTTGAATCATATTAGTAAAATGTGAGTTCCAGGCCAACCTGGACTACATAGCGAGACCTTGTCTCAAAAATAAAAAATAGGGCTGGCGAG